GACCCCCATTAGGTTCTCATGGGCCCACTTCTCCAGCCTTCTCTGGATGGCATTCCTTCCCTCTGTTGTATCAACTGTATCACACAGCTTGGTGTCATCTGCAAACTGATGCAAGAAGTTGTGTTATAACATTGCTGTTGTTGTTTTGCAGGGTGATCTCCAGTCCCAAGCAATGGTGCGTGCTGTTGCTCGCCAAGTGTGTGAGCAACTCATCCAGGGTAAGGTCATTGATAGTTTATATGCTTCTGTCTTTACAATGGATTTTTTCCTGCCACAGTTACAAATATGATGCTTTTCAGAGTCCATGGGGGCCTGTTAATTCTGCACTACACAGTCAGGATTTAAGATCCTTCTAGATTTATGTTCAACTGGATTTATGTCCAAGTAGAGCTGATTAGCATCTGGCACCTAAAAAAAAAGCCTGAATTCTCTCCAATCTGTTATAGTTTACAGAAGCTTCTGCTGTAACAATTTTAATTTTTATAGACATAGAATACAAAAAAAAAAAATCAAAGCAAGGAAATAAAATTCTACACAATACTTCTTCCTCTTTTCTGTGTGCTCCTTAAACCACCATTTCTCCACCAACAAGCACACAACTTCGTATTATTAAAGCATGACAAACCACAGCCTTGAGGACCTGCCAGTGCTCTCTTCAAAATTATCTGAACCAAGTTCTCCACTGCAACTTGAAAATAAGGATGTTTTTTTTCCTGACAGGTCATATGGCAAGATATAACTCAATTCTGAACCAGATTCCAAGCCAGTCTGTCTCGACGCGAACCATTGCAGGACCTCCTGGTGAGCCAGGTCGGCCAGGGGCTCCAGGGCCACAGGGTGAGCAAGGATCACCAGGCATGCAAGGGTTTCCAGGAAGTCCTGGTCAACCAGGAAGACCAGGAGAAAGAGGTAGGCTTCATACTTTCCATACAAAAAATATACTGACCTTTCCTGATATGTTCTGATGGCTTTTGTCTCTTATCTAAATGTGAGAAAAACAGCTTTTTCACTAATTGATGGATGAGCTCAACACAGACCATAATGAAAGCTCTGGAGACTCTGTCATTAAGGTAATGCAGGCCTTGCCAGGTGTGATTTGTCAGGATCACACAGAGGTTTAATGCCTGAAGTGCTGAAGATTGGTAGTATCTAACTGGGGACAGCCCATCTCATCGTGCTTTCATCTTAGTAGGACTCTGAAGTGAGCTGGAGCTATAAATGTGTAAGCAAAGGAGAGGAAAGATTAAGCTTTTGTGCTAAACTTGAACTGAGTCTCAAGATTTCTAAGTTATGATAGTCTGAAAAGAGCAAGGTTGATAAGAAGAGGGGAAAAAATTCATAGTTTATGAGAGGCTGAGAGGATCAAGGAGAGGAAATGGTGAGATCAAAGGGAAGTAATACAATTAACTGTTCATTTACAATAACTCTCCTCTATATTCTTACATGTAGGCTAGATCCCTTTCTCCTTTCTTGCTCCAGCATTGTCTAAAAACGAAACAAGCTCCATATTTTGATTTACTCTTTCTCTGTGCAACCCTGGCAATCTTCCGTGTGCCAGAGTATCATGAACCTCCCAGAGGTAGTACCAAGTAGATCTGTGATTGTGAAAGTGCTTTGAAGGCTGTGCTGGTCACAGCTGAGCAGTGCTCACACAGAGCCAAGGCCTTTTCTGCTCCTCACCCCAACAGCGAGGAGGCTGGGGGTGTACAAGACGCTGGGAGGGGACACAGCTGGGACAGCTGACCCCAACTGACCACAGGGGTATCCCATACCATATGACATCATGCTCAGCAAATAAAGCTGGGGGAAGAAGGAAGAAAGGGGGGACGTTCAGAGTCATGGCATTTGTCTTCCCAAGTAACCGTTGCACGTGAGGGAGCCCTGCTGTCCTGGAGATGGCTGAACACCTGCCTGCACATGGGAAGTAGTGAATGAATTCTGTGTTTTGCTTCACTTGTGTGCGCAGCTTTTGCTTTACTTATTAAACTGTCTTTACCTCACTCAACCCCTGAGTTTCCTCAGTTT